CACCCAGGCTGGAGTGAGGTGGTGCAGTCACAGCTCCCTGCAGCCTGGGGCTGCTGGGGTCAAATGATCCTCCCACCTCAGCCTCTGGCCTTGCTAAGATCACAGGTGTGCATCACCACGATCAGCTAATTGTTATAAAATTTTTTGTAGAGACGAAGTTTCCCCGTGTTGCCTGGGCCTGGTCTCGAACTCTTGGGCTCAAGCAGTCCTTCTGCCTGGGCTTCCCAAAGTGCTGGGTGACAGGTGTGAGGCACGGTGCTGGGCCATTAGCAAGTCTTTATGTATTTGATGACAGTGTTTGACCACCCCAGCCAAAACTTCTCTGGCCTGCACATCCCTAATTCTTTTGGCCGATGCTCCATCTCTACTTGTTCCCTGTGGGTGCCCCTCCCAACACACACAGGTCCACACTTCCCCGAGTGACCCACCAGATACCCCTGGCGCTAGCCCTCAAGAGAAGAGCTGGGCTCCAGGAATAATGTTCCTTTGGTTCTTCATGGCTCCCACCCCGCTCCTTCAGGTCTTGATTTCTGAAGGACTGGGGCAGTTCGCTCAAGATCCCAAGTTCATCGAGGTCACCACCCAGGAGCTGGCGGACGCCTGCGACATGACCATAGAGGAGATGGAGAGCGCGGCCGACAACATCCTCAGCGGGGGCGCCCCACAGAGCCCCAATGGCGCCCTCTTACCCTTTGTGAACTGCAGGGACGCGGGGCAGGACCGAGCCGGGGGCGAAGAGGACGCGGGCTGTGCGCGCGCGCGGGGGCGCCTGAGCGAGGAGGAGCTCCAGGACAGCAGGGTCTACGTCAGCAGCCTGTAGTGGGCGCTGCCAGATGCGGGCTTTTTTTATTTGTTTCAATGTTCCTAATGGGTTCGTTTCAGAAGTGCCTCACTGTTCTCGTGACCTGGAGTTAACCGGAACAGCGTCTTCATTCATTTCTGTTGGGACAAGACGCGGAGCCTGGGTGCGCGAGCCGCCCTCCGGGAGGAAGGCGCCCGGCTGCGTCTGCAGAGGCGGGGAGAGGAGGCGGCGAGGGTCCCGGGGCGCGAGGAAGGCGCCTGCCCTCTCCCAGCCCGCAGGCCCCGGGCCCGGCCGCGCCTCTGCGGGGAGAGCACCCCGGCTTCCCGCGCGCCCTCACCCAAAGGACCCTACAGCAAACGGGTGTCTTTCGACTCTGCTTGTAGAAACCATTTGCACATATTCTGTACGAGCCTCGCTGTCTCCCTAGAGCCAGGGTCCCGCGGATTTGGAGAAGGGAGCGGGGCAGGACTTCCAGGAGGACCCCAGCCCGGCCCGGAGAGGGAGAAGGAGGCCGTCAGGGGCGCGGAGCTTTGGGGATGAGCGTCGGGCCGGCCGTGGTGCCGCTCACCCCGACCCGCCCCTGCCCACCTGCGACGGGATCCCCCGACCGGCACGGGCCACGCCGACCTCCCGGCCAGCCGCCGGCCCGCAGGCAGCGCGAGGGAGGAGCTGCGCCGCCGGGAAGGGGCCGCCGGCTCCGCGCAACCAGGTGGTGCTGAGCTTCCGCTGAGCGCTCTTTTGTTTTGTGGTTTGACACTTTTCTTGACAGCATGTTGCAGTTTCTTTTTGGTTTTGGGTTTTTTTATTTTTTATTTTGTTTTCCCAGGGGGAGGGGAGGAAGAAGAGTGTTTACAAAGTCCTGTAGCCCCCTCACCTTTCTGTTTTCACTTTTGCCAATGTACATCGGGTTTGGTTTTCTTGTATTATTTAAACGGTTGTGGTTTCCTTTTTCCACGGAGGTTCAATAGAAGCCGCTGCAGGAGAGTTTTACCAACCATTGTGTATGCCCAATAATTTGTTATCATTTCCTTAGGTAGCAACCTATTTTTGTTCTGGTTTGGTTCGGTTTTCTCATGGAAAGGTAATTGCAATGCACTTGATGTGGTCTTGCACATGTGGGTGATAGAGTTGGGTTCCTTTTAATGCTGGGTGTACAGGTGGGTTTGGGAGAGAGGAGCATGCGCGAGAGTCTCCGAGTGTGTGCGACGCGTGTGTGTGTGGTGGGTTGTCTGTGTGCATATGTCCTGCCTATGTATATGCACCCACACCATGTGCCCGTGCACACCAGTGACTACGCAGTCCCCCCTTTCTGATTTAGCTGTGGGAAGATCTGAATCTGGGGCCATTTGAAAGCAAAAACAAACCACTGTCTCTGCTTCTGAAATGGGAATCAGTAACTCTGCATTTTCTGTCCCACAAGATATGCAAAAACAATGCAATAATATTCATTTAAAAATACAATTGTGAGTTGTGTTGGCATTAAAACTGTATTTAAAAAAAAAAAAGACACAGAAATTTAAGGGAAAAACACAAGAAGGCATTTTGCTTCACTATATTCCGTGTAATGTTTTATTGCATTGATAATGTTTCTGTTGAAGAAACCGTTATACTTGAATTCAGGTCAGTTTCAGTATTTTTCAAATATTTTTTTAAAACTGAATTGCAATTGTGCCAAGCGAATATAATGAATTGAATTAAGTTGGTTTTCGGATTCACTTCTTGTATATTTTGCTGCATGTAAAGTAAATCATTTTGTATTTGGAGTGTGACAAGCTTTACCTTTGAACTCTTAAGTGCTTTTCTATATGTGGTTGGGGGAAAGGGAACAAGTTTTCTTTAATTTGCACAATGAGCAAAGGTATCACCAGTGTAGTCATTATTCTGCTCTCCACAAACAGGTTTGGACATTACTGTTTTGCATATCTTGTGTTCGCTTCCGTTTCCCTCAATTTTTCCAAAATCGTTTGCTGGGTATGTTTGTACCGCCTCTTGCTGTGATAGACCAGGACCTATTTTATTCCAGGCTTCACTGTCCACTCTGCTCTGGTCATCTGATTTGGTACTTCTCCAAGAACAGCCCTTCACTGTTAGGCGTAGGGAGGCGTTCTGACCAGCCCTCAGTCACCGGGCTGGCATCCGCATCCCCCACGGAAGAGGTGGCTGGCTTTGCCGTCACTCCCACCACACAGACTTTTCTCGTTGGCTTCCTTAGGAAAGTGTACACCAACCGGGAGGATAAAATTAAAGTCAGGCTACTTGGAGGGAGGGGCATCCTCACTTCAGGATTCCGCTCTACCCAGCGAGGAGAGCAGGGGCTCCAGAAAGGAACGGGTGAAACCCTGATCCATCTGAAAGTCAACTCTGCGTGCTCCTTTCTCCGTCCCCTCCTCACTCTGGAGCAGCCTTTCCTTCAGGCTTGCCCTAATGTTTGGGCTGCTGAGGAGGAGGCCAGGACAGGGGAAGAGGCATCCGGAGATCACAGTAGGGGTGGGAACGGATTTTATGGGGACATCTCTGATGCTCACGTATCTCCCTAGAACATCACTCTTTTGGTGCTGTGTCCTTCAAATGTATGTCAACAGTGATGGCTGAAAAGGGACTGCTTTGGGGAAAACTGGACCCAACATTCCCCCAGAATTGACCTATTGAATCTCTTTCAGTCCTAGTGTTCCCTCAGCCCCTCTTGGCACATATATAAGTAAGCTAGAACATTCCTCTATGACAGCATGCTGGACTGATTCATGAAAAAGTGGAGAAATGTACTTGATACTCCCAGGTTAACAGTCTAGAAACAGAGTTTCTTTATGGGTATCCACACCCAAGTCATCCAGACTTTCTTGATTCCTTTTCAGTGCCATCAAGGTCCTCTAGAAATTGAATTTAAGTATCATCCTTTGTAAAGTTCCCAAGATTTCTACCCGGAGGTACACACGGGCGTTCTCTGTCTAGGGCAGGAGGACTGTCCTAGACTGATCTTCCGATCTAGAATAAGACTGGTGTACGATGCCTGTCATCAGAACAGACTGGCACAAGTAGTGACACCAATGAACCGCATCCACAATTTTCCGAGTGATGTCTGCTCTCCACCTAAAATGGAATTTTCCCCATGACCTTGTAAAACATTATTGTCACATCTTCCATACCCCTCCTGACAGCCCCCAAGTGGCAGGAGAAAACAGCCAGGGGCTAAGGGCCCAAGGGACTTGAAGAAACAGTTTAAGGTCTGCAGTTTGGTCAGCTTAATTCTTTGTCCTCTGACCAGCCCTGCCTCTTTCATTTCCAGACCTTGAAGAATTTTTCCCAGCTTTGATTCAGAAGGTATTATTATAACCCCTTTCCTTCTTCTTAATTCAGTAGATCTCACTCTGGGAAATCCACTCAAAAGAGCAAGGCAATGTCTCTCATTCTGTTTCCCAGTTCCAAATTCCAGGTGCTTGTCTGGAGTGAAGCTGCCTGTTTTTTTCTCCCAGCTTTTCTCCACCCGGCATGTCTCCTGACTGTGTAGCTGAAGACACGGGGGGCAACCTCAGGAAACGCAGCCCTTTCCATGCCCAAGTTCATCTCCTGAGAAATAGGGATACCTTGAAAATGAGGACTTTGGAAGTCACCCAAAGGATGGTGGCTACTTTATGGAGTCCTGAAGATACACAGCCACCACTCCTAAAGGCAAAGAAGTAGAACAAGAATGTAGGTCAGGGATAGAGTGGAACCCTGGTCATCAGGGTTTTTAGCCTCATCGTGGGAAAGGTGGCAAAGGAGGAGGATGGCATCTCCGTCCCTAGAGGCCTAGAATAATTGAAATATCATTGTTGAGGA